AGTGTTGAATGGAGAAAGTCGATGGAGAAAGTCGATCATTTGCAAATCAGTTTTGCTGACTAGCTGACCATTTTGGGCTAACAACATTAAATCAGCAGATAGAAACAAAAATAAAATTCAGAAAAATCTAATAGACAAAACATACAGCTGTCATGACTAGACAGACAACTTTCATGTCTTGAGATGATAAGAATGCTTTAACATGTCAGTGAAAAGATGAAAGTTCTTGTTTGTTCATACTAAAAGGCCTGACTCTTCACTTGCTTCACATTTGTCCTTACTCAGCACCCAGTTGGAGGGACTGCACTACAGATGTTCAATTCTGTGCAAAAATATGAAGAAATCGTTGGCTCTACAATGAACCCAATTCCTAGGCATTTTAGGCTTTACAAGTTTACCCCAAACTGAATTCCAAAATATATTGGAAGCGAATGCAGGCATTTTAGAACAGATGTCATAGCAGTGGAATGACAGATTATGGCCTACTAAGTTTTAACACATTGGAGTGATCACTCTACATGAAATTTATTGACAAGTCTAGTTCATTCTCAGTAAGTAAGGCAGTTTTAAGGTTGTACCATGGTAATTAGAAGGGCCCAACAATCATAAAATTATCCTAATTAGCCAGTTTTATCAGATACCTATTTATTTCAGCTCCAGGTATTTTGGAGTATAAATCCCATAGCCACTGAACATCAGCCATGTTGTGGGCAGTTGATACGTGTTGTATGCAAACTTTGCCTACTTCTGTGCAGGAGGAAGAAACATGTGAATGATCCCACCTGACCCCATCGTCTTCAGACTTGCTCATGCTCTGGAGCAACCCTCACCAGTAGCATGAGTGGGAACTGCAATGACCACTGCCTCTTTATTCAATCAGTTGGGAGAGAAGATGGCATTGTAAGCAACAGCTGAGCTAATTGTAAGCAAAAGAGAGAGACTTTACGTCCTTCGCTATTTTGCTTTTCCTACGGAGCGCTATGACTGAACAAGTCCAGACACAACATTACCTAAACCAGGTTCACCCAAAAAGTGAACAGGTTGCACAAACCTGTCCAATAACCTTCCTATAAATCCCTCCAGGGTACCTAAAATTGTGCAGATTGAATCTCAGATTGTGGATAGTAAATAGGCCTTCTGAGTTGGAAGTTTCTTGGGCTGACGGGTGGCTATATCAATTTGTTAAATAAGAAATACATTTCTCAAAATACAAAAATCTGTTGTATAGAAGAAGGTAGGCTAATCCACTTCCTTAGAACATCTGCCAAGGGTTATACATGCATGACAACCATATTCCAATCGGTATATTTTTAATGCACCGTGACAGTCTGAGCACTTGCAAAGATAATGTAATGCCCCATACGTTTTGCTCAGCTGTACTTTCCTTGCCTTTTATGGTGAAACCTCAATCCAGAGAGAGAATCACGTCCTTCCTTAGTATGGAACAACACTCCTCCACAGCATTACAACATTTGTAACTTCCTATGCCGCAGACTTAGAACGCCCTCCTGAGTCTTCTCTGAAACTGTTTTGACATCTGATAAAATTCTTCCAGTAGTTTGCTTCATACCTTCCAAACTGTTAAACTTTACTAAGTGAACTTCACGAATGGCTGGGGGATGCGGTAAGCGTTCCCTGCTCCCAGAAGGTTTGCTAGTTGTGGTGCAGCAGGAAGCTTCTACTGGCGCTTACCAGATGCATGGCTATCTCCAAATTCCTCTCAATTTTTTCTTAGGATGGAATTTATTGGCAACACCATGCATGGCACCGTCGTTTGCAAACTCCTCACTTTCAATAAAATCTTTCCAAAATTTGTCTGCTACATCAATACGCTACAGGGGAATCTATGACATGTTCTAGGGAACTAGTTAGTTTAATTGTAATTCTGTTTTCATCTGATCATATCATTAGCTTTCTTGAACACTAGTTCTGGTGGAAAAAGGATATTCATTATAGAATCAATGAATTAATAATGTAGGTCCTCACCTCAACAGGCTGCCACATGTCTTGAGAAAGAATTTGGGACAGCTGAAGCTCTAAAAATCGCTTCTGTCTCTTGGGAAGGAGTGTGAGCGGTTGTGGTGAGGGAAGGAGATGCTTCTCCCGTGCTGTCTCCCCACCATTTCCCACCCATTCGCCCCCACATTTTCCTCTGCCACTTCTCTCTCTCTCTCTTTCTCCCTCTCTGCCTGCCTCTTGCCTTCTTCTCACAACCTGCATCTAATCAAGGGGGCTGCAGCTCATGAAAGCTTCTGCCTTTTAATAAAAGTAGTTGGAAAAGGTGCTGCCAGACTCCTCCTGATGTTTTGCCACCATAGACTAACACGGCTCTCCTCCTACAATGTCAACTCAAGGATAGCTAATGCTCTTGGACCTTCCTCTGCCCTTTGAAGGAGGACGTTGTTAGCCTGACAGATCAAAAATTTCCTGGACATTTTCCATGCTCGGCAGAGTTTGGGTAATTAAAATCTCCTACTGCTACATTGTGTACGTTCAATGTGTAGGATCAACAATTTGTGTTCAGCCTCCATTCTAACAAAGCAGCCACTATTTGTTCCTATTTCCATTCATTAGAGCAACTCAGGAATAAACTAAGGTTGTGCAAGCAGGTTACCATCGATGTGAACTTCCTGCTAAAGAACTCAGACCATGCGCAGATGGTGAATTTATCCAGGAGTGTCCCAGGTATGGCTGTGCTGTTGACCACAGAGAAACAGAGTCTTTTTGGTAATGGGAGCATGTCTTGCCCAACTAGAGCCAGTCTCACTGTGACATGGCACCACTCTATAGACCTATGAGATACTGCTCAATTAGCAATCTTTACTGCACAATTATACCTCCATGTATGACAAGAGAGGTTTGGTTGCCTTTGTAAGTAATAGAGGTGAAGACAGATTTGTCAAAGCGTTGTCAACAATACCTGACAGACCTTATCACTATATAAACCGAGCGGCCTTGCAGCTGATGATCTCCTTTTCATGATTTGATTACAAAGGGCATTTGCACTGCAATTGTCTGTCATGGATTCTTCACAGGTGCTAATATGCTGGAGTGTAATCTACCCAGAGATACCAGTGCCTACAGCTGTGAAGAGTTAACTTTATAAAAAGCAGAAAACCGAACAAATGGCAATTCAAGAAGTTACCAAAAGACCTGAAAGTGACCTACAGAAATTTAGTGCACTATTTTAGTGCAAGTGGGCTGGCTCGAGATCAGCTCTTCCAACGTTTCTATGAACTTTGAGCTGAAATATCAAGATTCACGGACAGCAAGGGAAACTCCTCTCTGACCTAAGCGATGTGAAGTGGGTTTCTGATCTGGCATCTGTGACAAATGATTGCAACTCCTTGATCACATCACAGCTGGCAGCTGTGGTGACCAAATGATGAAGAGTTTAAGGTACCAGCCATCCATCTACGCCAGGAAATGTCAAAGGGATCAAATGTGTAATGTAAAGTCATGCCAACGCCCTCCGGAGCACTGCACCCCTCCTGCTTTGGTGGCAAGAAAAGCCTCACTAACAGACAGAAAGATATCAGTGTGGAGGTATGCTGGACACCATAAACCCCTTGCTTACGCCCTCATCTTTCCCTGGTGATGCTCCCAGGATCCTGGGCTTGCTGCCTTGCGAAGGATTCAGAGAGGCTCCATCAAGTCCTGCTGCTTTGAGGACTCTATAAGTCCATTTGGGCTGGAAGAAGGGCGGTGGCATCAGCCAAGAAACAGACACCACGGAGATTCCAGGAATGCTAGTTTATCATGCAGGGTCTGTTAACAGAATCCTGCCCACTGCCCCTTTTTAAGGACCACAGGGTCAAAGCCAGGCTGTTCTGAGTCTCCTTCCCATGCTTTCTACTTCCCCAGGACTAAGTCATTCACCCAGTCTGGCCTGAGGCCTGGGGGCAGAGCCAAGTTTTAAACATGGTCAGAATGGGGGCCAGAGGGATCTCAGGGGGTACGTTGTTCCAGAGGGCGGGGGCTGCAAGAGAGAATGCACACGTCCAACGTCTTGTCAGATGACATTGCTTAATGGAGGGGACCTGAAGCATGTCAACTCCGCCCAATTGTACAGGATGGGCAGACATCACAGAAGACAGATCGTTCCTTAGATAACCAGGCCCTACACCATGAAAGGCTTTATAGGCAGTAACAGCACCCAGAACAACACCCTACCAGTAACCAGTGTAGATCATGGAGCAAAGGTCTTACAAGGGCACAATGAGATACACCCACAATTGCCTATCCTGCTCCATTCTGGACCAGCTGCAGCTGCTGAATGGTTTTCAAGGGCAGTCCCAACTTCAGTGCAATGTAATAGTCCACGTGGGAGGTGACCAAAGCATGAGTGACCTTTCAGTCTCCTAGTCCAGGGAGGGGCACAAATGACTCACAAGATAGTTTTGTGTGAAACCTTCCAAGCCACAGCTTAATTTTCCTCAATTTTAACTTGAAAATATGTACTTTTACATGCATCTTGGCACATTTTTTTTTAGGCAATAAATGTATCATAAACTATGGAGAATTGCTGCTTAATGCAGGAAATGTGAATTAGGTCAGTTAAAGTGTGAACCAGACTGAATCCTCAAGGATCCTTCGCTCAGATCCTGTGAGACTGATCCCCTTTGGCTTTAACTGGCCAAGCGCTTCCCCTGTGTATTGCTCAGTCAATTAACTTGAAATAAATGTAAATAAGTGTCCATCCCATTGAAAACCCAACAGTTTTTTTTTTCTTTTAAAAGGAAAGGAACATACAGATCAGAAGGTGCTGTGATTATTTCACAATTACAAGAACGTCAGAATTACAATCGCCCCAAAGACTTTAAAAGTTCTTTAACTCTTAACCCATCCATATTTGTTTTATTAAGAATTATTAGTAAAATGTTAGTCAAACAGATTGTAGTTATACATATTACACCATGTTTTATTACAGCTTACAGCCCTAATATAAACATAAAACAAGTGTGGGAATAAAAAGTGTGACAGAAACTTTGGTGTCCTACCTCATCCTGACTCACGATTTTGGTATTTTCAGTTCTGGATTTCTTCTGCAATAATTTTGTTTCGTATTCTGGCCTGGGGTGTTCCTAAACCAAATAAAAATGTGGAGCAAATTTAACATCTGAGCAACAAGCCACATAAAAACCATCCAGATGCTACTTAGATCTTGGCTCCTACAGATCTGAACGTGAGCAAGAATATTGGTAAGAGGGGCTTGTGACATAAGAGTTATGATTGCCTAAATGGAGAAAGAAGCCAGTTTTTATATGCTCCTTGGTGTATTTGGGTAGCAGAAAGGGTCGAAGAGCACATTTCAAGCAAACACTTCATGTGTGATTATTTTAATAAGGAAACACCTTATAAACAGTTTCGAAGAGTCGTGGAAGGCCAAATATCCATATAAGGATTTGACCTACACCCAGAGACACGTATACACTGTGATGCTGGAGCTAAGGAGGTCCTGCTGACAGACGTTACCCTTGGGAGCCAAGCTATAAGGGATCAAATGAAATCAAATCACTTAATTGCAACCCCAGACCGATGAAACTAGAGAGAAAAAGCGGATAACTGCTCCCAAAAGAGAGAATTCCCACCCTAGAAACAAAAGCTAGATCCTGGATTTTTTACTCCGGCAAAAGTCTGTTGACCTCAACAGGAGACCAAAGCATTGCTTCAGTTATTCCAGAGGTGGGCAGACTTTTAGTGGCCAAGAGGTAGACTTGGCATTTTTGGGGTAGCCAACGGCCCAGAGTGCAGGAGTTAACACCAGATAGACAGACAGGGCTGAGTCTCCTTGGGTTTAAAACCATGAAACGCCTAATGTAGAGTGTGTATATTTTAATCTGTTTGCCTTGATCAAAACAGCAGGAAAGTCCCATCAGACTTCAGCAATCTTGGCAGGGGGCACTCCGAGGGTCCCAAAAAGAGGGCTCAGTTCTATGTGCAATTTCAACCCCCTGAAATGTAAAGCCAGTGTAACACCTGCAAGTAATCTACTGGGAGCGTATGTCCCTGAACCCCCGCTGCAAACCCCAACGGCTTGCACCATTATTCCAGGATCTTCCCTGTGCCTCCCTCTCTGCTTCTTTTCTGGGATCATCACACTCTCCTGCGTGGCCAGAAAGCCCGAGGCTGTCCTCCGGAAGCAGCAGGAGCTGCCGCGGCTGCTAGGAGCGAAGGAGCCTGCGGGCTTTTGCAAAGCGGCCGCCGGAGAGGAAGAGCATCCTCAGCCCGCACCTGGAAGCTGCGGTGGCCTCCCTCGCCCTCTGCCATGACGGAAGTAAGAGGGATAAAGACAAATCAAAACCCAAAGCAGAGAGTTAAAAAAGAATAGAGGAGACAGGATTTGCTACAGCGTTTTCTTCCACCGGTGGGCTTTAGATCCAGTTCCACTTAGCTCGTTTCATTTTTTATTGACCTCTTTGATATTTCACTTATCACAATTTAATTTTTTCATTTGAATGATCATGTGAATAACCAAATGTCTGTCCTACTGTGATATAAAGAAGGTCTGATATAAATGTCTGTCCTGTTGCGATATAAAAAGTTCTCAGACCTGAACTTTTGTCTTTTAGAGTCATTTTTGGTTTGCTTTGGTTTTTATCTAAGTAGGCATGTTAAACATAAATTTAAACTGTTATTTTTTTCCCTATGCTGTTCTAAATACTTGCATGGCTGCTTTATGTCGCTGTTTGTCACTTTGAACACTATCGATAACTTTAGGATATAGGGCAGAATATGAATATAATGCATAACTATTCCGATCTCTGCCTTTCTGTATGCTCTATGTTCCTGAGACCTATTATACATTCTTGTTATAATTACTCTTTTTCTGGTTTTCATTTTGAATAAACCATTCTAGCTTCTAATTACACGGTTTTTTATTATTTTTTTTAAAAGTGTATATTATTTTTGTGTTATTCAAACTTAGTTTAGTTTTCAATATTGTTGGTTATTCTAATTGAATATCTTGCCAGTTCAAGGTACAGGATATAGGGATCAACCAAAATCTGATTTGAATTTGCAAGTCAATAATATAATTGTGTTTGCATTTACAGCTCATTTCCAAGAACTGAATTACTTTGATTTGGGGAATGAAATCACCAAATTGATTTGAACAATTGAATTGATAAACGTCTAGGTGCAAGTGAGCAAAAAGCCGTGAAATGTTTGGATGGTTTCCAAGGCACTTACTTCCTCCTCCTCCAAGCCAGTCAGATCCCAGAAGTAACACAGCCTCATCTGCAAACGCTTCCAATTTTCAAGAAACATCGTGGCTGAAATGAAAGAAACCCAGTTTTGTTCATTGCAAGAGAGCTTTGCATTTGCAATACCCAAACAGGATTGTGTTTCTTACCAACAAAGTAAAGGTTCCCTTGAACCAAGCTCAACTCCTGATGGCTGCGTGGCCCGTCCACGCCCTGTATTTTTTGGCAGCAGGAGAGAGATGGATTCCTGCTGCCTTCATCTGGGCCCTTGCTTGATTTCTCAGCCTCCTTACTTTATCCTTGTTCACACCTCTGGACCCACGTGCACACAATGAATAAAAGACGTGCACAGCCATGCGTTCTTCCATCCCCCAAGCACCATGCTGCCACGGGCTCCGATCCATGCACGTGGAGCTTCCAACTGAAGGGGCTACTTCTACACCTGGGAGTTCCATCCATGGACTGCCCAAGGTTCCGAAATCTGTGGAGGGCCCCAGAGAGGCCTGGAAGTACAGGGTGTGTGTGTGTGTGGGGGGGGCAGGATACATGTCCCTGTGGAGCAAGCAGGCCTACTTCCAGCCATTCCCAGAGGTCTCTCGATGGTTTGGGTGCCTGGGCTTGAAAAAGCACAACAGACATATATTTAACTGGGATTTGGTTAGTCCACACCCAGGTCTGCCATTAAGAATTGTTTCTAGCAAGAAGCGTTTCTGAGATGCATTTCTACTAGGAATATATGCTGTGTTTCAACAGTACAGTTTTTTTTTTTTTTAACCAATCTGGTATTTGCTTGGAATTGAAAAAAGTCCATAAAGCTGAATTTATTACCACATTCCTCCCTAAATACATCTCTCAACAACTTTGATTTAATTCTGATGCTTCCCAGCAGGACTGTGTTCACTTGGCTGCCATGTCTTTGTAGCATGCGCTGCACCAAGGAAGCTCGCTAGTGTCCCGTAATGGACATGTCAGACAGGTTTGTGTCCAGAATCTGTCAGTCGGACAAGTCTCGACATGGATTTGTTGTAGGTTATAGTTCCTGTCCCCCTGTGCCTTTCCCTGGTCTATTTTCAAAGTCCTCTGAGCCGCTACCCGTAAGCAAGCTTCGTGGTAATGGCTTCCTTATGCTCATCAAGCAGTTGGAAAAGCAGCCTTCCTTTTGCTTCTCCTCAACGAGCTGCCAATCAGTTCCCCTGAATGACTCATTCTAATAATGCGCATTTGCGGGGGGCGGGGCGGGGCGGGGGGAACCGCGCCTTGAGAGATTAGGCTTTCCCCGAACTTAACTAGAATATTGTTTCCAGAGCCTGACCTATAAATGGGTCTCTCAGGTATCAATAGGACTTAATCACAAGCTGGGTCCAACCGGCTGCATGTTAGCTGAGGCTCTTCTCGCACACGGAAAAGACTTGTGAGAATTTCCAGAAACTGGCCTGAGCTGATGCCGACATCCTGGTCAATCCCAGGCTGCTCTTTCAAGAGCCGGACGGTGGACAGAGATCTCTCCCCGTCCTGCTGAAGTTCCTTCCAACCGAGTTACAAGACGCCACTTCAGGTGATCTTCCAGGGCTTTCCAGATTCAGGAGGTTACCCAGAGCGCTTCATTCCGCCAATGGTGATAATCTCAGCCACTGGGGCCATCGGCACCAGAGATCAAAATGAATTCAGGGTCACAAAAGGAAAGTTCCATTACCAAGACACTCTAAATAACAGCGGAATTTCAAAGGATTTGGGCTTATTTAATTTAACTGTTATTCATTCCAACAGAAGAGAATCTCTGTAGCTCAGGGTTGAACTGTGGAGTCCTTGGTGCTCTCTGAGCTTGGGTGTTTGCTTGCAGACGTTTCATTATCCAACTAGGTTTCGGCACCAGAGATCAAAATGAATTCAGGGTCACAAAAGGAAAGTTCCATTACCAAGACACTCTAAATAACAGCGGAATTTCAAAGGATTTGGGCTTATTTAATTTAACTGTTATTCATTCCAACAGAAGAGAATCTCTGTAGCTCAGGGTTGAACTGTGGAGTCCTTGGTGCTCTCTGAGCTTGGGTGTTACCTGCAGATGTTTCATTACCCAACCAGGTAGCAGCCTCAGTGCGAATGAGTCTGAGGCTAAACCTAGTTGGATAATGAAACGTCTGCAAGCAAACACCCAAGCTCAGAGAGCACCAAGAACTTCACATTTTTCTTTATTTTTGTGTTTTGCAATATTTGTAGACTGCCCCAATCAGTGAAGACTCTGGGCGAAGAACAATAAGGCAAGACTAAAATAAGCAAAATAGCAAAGTCTGCTACAACCGTGCTGGAATAGTACAGCTTTAACTGCCTTGCAAGAGGCAAGGAGGGAGGGAGCCAAGCGCACCTTCAGGGAGGGGTGTGCCCGAGCGCGTCCCCCGTTTCTGAGCTGCCTTTAAAGGCGTGCTTCGGTCATCCAGCCTGGGTGTCAGCATGGGGGCCAAGCCAGATTCTCTCAAAGAGACGTGCATCTTACGCACCAACTTCCTGTGGCCGTCGCCTGAGGTTCCACGGGAGAGCTCCCAAGTGGCACACGTGGCCTTTCCACCCCCTGCGGCAGATCTCCCTGCTTCCCTGCTCTGGACTAAGCTTCAGTTTGTCTGCTCTCACCCATTTATTTATTTGTATGGCTGCCCATCTTAGACCACAACTCTGAGTGGCTCACAACAACAGTAACACCACGAAATAGTAAAGCACCATAAAAACAAAGACAACCCCCCCAGGCACCTCAGGCACCCTCCTGGGATGCCCCCAACCAACCAACCATCCACAGGATCCCACACTCTGCCCCATGCCTGGGGGAAGAGACAGCTCCTGACAGCCTTCCGGGAGGCGAGGAGGGCGGAGGCCTGCTGGGGCGCTGGGGCAGGGCTGCTCCGGGGGCAGCAGGGGCCCTGGAAAAGGCTCCCCCGGAGGGCGATATTCAAGGGGAGGGGCCTGGAGCGCCCCCCTCTAGCTGGCCTGGTGGAGTCCTGCAGACAACCTGGTCCGGTGCCATCCCGGGCTTTAAAGGCGACGACCGGCACCGTGAACTGCGCCTGGAAATCAGCCAGGAGCCGGGGCAGCTCACCCAGCAAACCAAAGATCAGCCCCAGAGCGAGGCCGGGAAGGACCTAGCTGACTACCGCTCTGTTGACCGACACGAACTATTATCCGGAGTTGAGCGGCCGTCCCCCATGCCAGCAGATTGCTAAGTTCGATGCTGGGCAGAAATGATCCCAGAGCGTTATCTCAAAAATAAGCTCCCCACGGACCCCTCTGAGCCAGGGGAAGCCACCGTGTTCCCTCCACAAAGGACGGACTGCCTCTCAGGTTCAGACAACAAGCTGCCTTGGTAAAAGTGGAAGGAGAAGGAATCAAAAGAGAAGGTCCATTTTTTTATTAAAAGGTTTTTTTTTTTAAAAAAGAGTCAGGTGGGTCAGGGGACATGTTGGGTTACTAGGGGATACGCATGTTGGCATCGTATTGGCTACCTCCATCCTAAAATATCGCCCCACCGACTAGTTTCCTGGTTTTGCAGGTTGCCCGCTCACCTCAGGGCTGAGTCCCCAAAGTCCTCACCCTTGACTTGCCCCAGTGCCCGCCTCTAGTGAAGGGCGAGGCCTTAAGCTTCGCCAACGGAGCATTAAAAGGCGTCTGTCAAACGGAAGTGTTTTTCAGCAGCTGTTTGGCTGAAGGATACTTCCCCAAACATCTTTTCCCTTCCTCCCTCTGCTTGTAGTGACTCTGAATCCTTAAACTCACTGAAAGCGAGGAGGACAAACTTACTAAGACACAACTAAACAACAACAAAACCCCACCACTGTCGTCTTCTGCGATAACGCATTATTAGCTGAGAGTCACTTTAACTGAAAAAAGCAGAGCGAACATTTCCTGAGTAAATATTGGCTTGCACAGTGTAAAGGTTGCTTGGTGAGCACAGCCCCTTTGCAACCTGAGTACCTGGCTCCTAAAGGAAGCTTATGTGACATTCGATCAGGTAACCTGAGCAAACTCCCTTTCCTGGTGTTTACAGTGAGCTCCCCACTTTCACAATAAAGGGGGGAAGATGAAAGGTACTTATATATGATCCTCTGGCAAATGAAACGAAGTCAAGGCCGCAGAGCATACATAACACGCCGCTCTTTGCTTTAAAGGTCCTTATCGCACATTGGGGAACAGGCGTCCTCAGTGTTGCAAAGCAGACTTTTTGGGAAGCAGCCCCGGTTTCCCTTGGGTAAAGGGCGGGAGGGATGTCGGTTGGCGAAAGGAAAGCTAGATGCGCTCTGAGCTTATCTGCTGCTGGAAGGGGACAAAAGAAGGTAGGATACAACGCTCAGTACCTACCCATCCACGTAGAACATGCTGTTCCATTTTTGTGCACTCTGACTATCAACGTGGCCAGAATTAGATCTAGACACACACACACACACACACACACACACACACACGTCTGGCTTTTGCAAAACAGGGAAGACGCCTGGTTGCTCCTTCCTCAGCTGCACGGCTACCGTAGCTAACTTATGGCATGGTATCGTTTCATTTCCGACTTCTCCTCCCCACCGCCAGCAGCAGAATCGGAATCGGATATTCGATGCCACACTGCCAGGATAGGGGCACGTTTCAAGAGAGGGAGCGCAATGGGGAGGGGGGACGATAATCCTCATTCTGGCCTAAATCTTAGCCTCTTGTTTCAAGTGCCTTTGCAGGTCATTCATTCTTTAAATTTACAGCCCGCTCTACCCTGTGACTCCAGAGGGGCTTTTAGATTAATTCTTCCAGGCACACACACCATGGCCCCTTTCTTGGCTGCTCAGCCCAGAGTCAGAGACCAACCATTCAGGGTGATAAATCAGTAGCTGAAGTCAATTCAGTAAGTAGAGCAGCTCCATCTCAATCCACGTTCCTACTGCAGAGTTCTTTCTGGCAGCCGCGGTTCAAGGTCAAGACAGTCCCTCCCAGCACCGGTTCAAATTTCCAAAGAGGCTTCCACGCACACACTCATCATCCATACCCACAAGGCAGCTCCCTTTCAAGGAGTGAGGAACAGTAAGCAGAATAGGTTAAGGTTTTAGAAAGGGAAACGTAACTGAATCAACCCCATTCACTAGCCTTGCAAAACATCCTTCCTTCTACCATGTCCACTCACTGCCTTTAATTTTTTAAATTTCTCACCTCCCTCTTTTGGAGATCTCAACTCCATCCAACCACAGCCATCTTCTCCTTCTCAACCCATTCACTCATCCGTTCTGTTTTGCAAATCAGTCTTCATTTGTTCTCTCTGGATGACCAAACCACTTCAAGGTATTTCTGTTCCTCTGGTCACTCGCTTTTGTATCCAGTCCACATTCACTTGCACCTATTCGTTCTTGACCCCATCTCTTCCTGTTTAAGTCCTTAAGTACGTTATTTCCAATGCATTCAACTTCCTTTTATGTCACTGCTGATGTAACCCAACTTTCGTGTTGTATAACAAAGCAGAAGAAACACACTTTTAGACAGATCCATTTTCACATCTTTCCACCAATATTCTTTCCTTGCAACAGAGCACATACTACTCACTAACCTTCTACTAGTATTCACATGTCTTAAAACGTCTCCATCCCTTTTCTCATCTTTGATAAACATTCCACCAGGGTCCGCAAATTCGTCTACTTGCACTAATTTTTACCATGTATATACAGATTACTACCATGCACTCCATTTGCCCTTTCAAATGCAGCTACCTTGGCCTTGGGCACATCAATTTTCAGGTTCATACTCCTCAGTATATCATACAATTGATCTAACATTCACTGTAAATCATAAGTTTGTTTAGTAAATAAATAAACTTGGGTTCTCAGCTAACAACATGGGTCATTGGCATACAAAAATACTCTTCTTCTTGCCCCTAACCTACCATTCCTAATATCTCCACAAGCATTCCTTATACATTTATCCATAAATATATTAAACAACCAAGAGGACATCATATATCCTTGCCTTTGTCTCTGCTCGATTTGAACCATCCACGAAGCATTCCATTAATTCTCAGGCCAACTGTTCCTCCATTTATATAGCACTTTTAAAACCTTCAGTAATCAACCTTCAACTCCAGTTTGTCACACCACATTCTACAATTCAGTCATGTTCTCTTCATCTTATGTTTTCTCTAAATCAACAAACACGCAACACTCTTTCCTTCTCACAGCCACACATTTCTGAATAACCAGCTCTGCGCTGCCTGGCGCTGTCTGCCCTGCTTCCCCCAAGTTTTGCTCACTATCCCTGCTTGCCTCTTCTTCACTAAAACTCTTCTTCAACTCTTTCCCTGGAGTTTTTGCGTTCGCTCTTGCAATCCTTCAGCCTTGTGACCAGGAATGACCTTCCTCCAACCGTCAGCACAGGCACGTTAAATGAGTGGCCCAGCCACTCCATAAGAAATCCCCATATTTTAGCAGCCATACCATTTTCCAAAATTCTCACAACTTTTTACTTCCTTACCTTAACATTTACAGGATTCGTTTCCCTTTTCAAAATGTTCCTAAATATATTTCTAAAATAACCCTTCGGGTACTCTCTTCCTTTAGTTTCACCCCAAATCATTTTTCACTTTCTATTTTTTCAAATAAATCATCAAATAAACACTTATATATGCAACATAATCTTAAGGATACCTAGAAAGGTTTGAAGGCTCTTGCCTCATAATGGAAAGGGAGGAGACCAGAAAATAGCCAACACGCACCCGTATTTTCTAGCTACCTAGTTATCAGTCTGGAAGCAAAGTCCTTGCTGTTATAACTGCAGTCCAAGAACTGGGTTTGATTCCTAACCTAACAACGTTGTCTCCACTAATTTCACAGTATTCCCTTTGGTGTAAGGTAATCCACGTGCTACCATTCCCACGAGGGGTCTTCTACTCCTTGTCTGATGTCCTTAGACTCTCTCCCTCTTTCTTAGGGGAACTGGAGCTGGCCTTAGCGCAAGGGAGGTGGAGATGCTGAGCAGACTCTTTTTCCCTTTTGACAAGTCATGGGAACAAAATATTCATTGTTCAGAAGGGGCTGCTGCCACTATGGGAAATGAAGGTCATTAATCTGCCCTATGAAGACCCTCATCTATGAAAGAGCTTTCTTCTGGACGTCGGTCCATTCATACGTCACATGCAAGCTGACAGATGCTTGGGACTGAAAGAAGGGGGCCTCGCCTGAGTTTCTCTACCTCCCCCCGCCACTGTTAGTATCTTCATTTGTCTCCTCTTTCAGTTTTTACTAAGCTGTAGAAACGAAGTATAAGCAAGCCTTACCCCAGAGGGCCATGAAAACGGAGAAGAAGACCGTGGCCGGATTGTCAAATAAATGGCTGGCACGTGCAGTACCGCAAGCTGTACTGAGGTTCCAGTAGTCACACGTCTTGTCGCACAAAGGGCACATGGTGAAGGCTTTATGCTGGTCACACATCTCCTTACTAGGAAGAGCAAAGGCCAGAAGGTCAGAGACCGGCTACATGCAGAGAAAGTTGGCTGTTATTGAAAACACATTGATTTGGCTTCGTCAGGCAGAAAAGGCAATGCTTCTCCCTAAGCGTTCCTTTTCGTAGGATTTCTTGCTTGCTTATTTTAAATATTGATCATCTGCTCTTTCCAGGAGAATTATATTCAGAAACAGTTTCAAGGATAAATAGCTGCAGGAGTTGGAAGCGAGGTGGGGGTCACAAAAGTCAAGTTGGCGACCTTAGTCATGAGATTGACGGGGGCCCTGCTTTCTTTTCTTTTCTTTTCTTTTCTTTTCTTTTCTTTTCTTTTCTACTGTCCCATAATTTGAAGGGCAAGGCTTGGACTGCATAGTTGCAGGCCCCATCTTATCTTTTTTAAGCCCACCCCCCTTCGACAGTCACCCCTGGTTACAAGGATAAATAGTGCTTTGAAAAAGCAATAAAACAGCAGGAGGAAGAAAAGCTGTTTAAAATGAAATATAAAGCAAATTAATACCATAAATGTGCAATTAACATAACAAATAATGTAAAGATGGCCATGTAGTAAGTAAAGCGACTAAGAGTCACACCTTAACGTTTCTGTCAATGAAAGATTCAGGTCTTTATTATAAGGAAATCACGCATGCAGAACAGGGCATCATTCATAGGGGAGAAAATATGGGTAGGAAAATGTTATTTAACCTCCCTTGGTCACCATTTCATTCACTTTCCCCCCACTCACACAGTAGCTGCAAATGGAAGAAAAACCCTTGAAGTGATGGAAGAGAGGAAGAAATGATTAGTAGAAAAAGGCCTCTTGCCTCTCCTTTGCCCTCTAGAACACGGTTTTCCACCCCCTTTGATCTTTCGGGCATCTCTTGGACCCACATCTGGCTCTTATAATACTGTTATGACATCAGAGTTCACAGACCCAGGCGCCCCTGGATTCTCTTTCTTTTGGAAGGAGGATGCTGGAGGACATAGCGATATTTTTGAAGGAAAGAACCACATGTCTTGATGCAGAAAGGAGGAGAGAGAGAGAGAGAGACGCTGAATGCTTTGGCCCCTGAAACTCAGCAGTGATCTCTCCATGTCTTAGACCCAGTGTTCCCCACCACACCACGTTGCTACGATATATTTCACACAGTTAAGGAGGTGGAGCACGAAAACATGTTCCCCATCTTTTCTGTAATGGCTTCTTCCCTCTTCAGAACTTCTCAGAGAAGTTCAGGAACACCCATCTCCCTGGAAATCTATTAGCTAAATGGATTATCAGCTCTGTTCAGGTGTCATCTTAAGACAAGGGCAGGCCTTTCCCCCCATTATTTTGGGTGGCCAATGACCACCCATGGGTGAGCCTGTTTTTCCCAGAGGGGTGTTCTTTTGTTCTCTTTTCTGTGTTAGGGGTGCTAAGCTTATCCAAATACTTGGATTTATTTCACTTTATTTCAGGAATTGCCTGCCATAAACTGGTGGGAAAATGTACCACTAACTTTGGCAGTTTGTTGTCCAATTTTGGTGGGCTCTGGAGACCATGAAAAGGGTTTTGGAGGCTCCGTGAGCCTCACTGCCATAAGCCAGCTAGCCAACCCACAAGGACAGGCACATGTACGGAAGCCCAAAACAGAGCAAGCAACTGTTAAACCCGGTCTCTGCATGCAGGATTTCAGCTTTCAAGGACAGTGGCTGAAACCCAATAAATACAATTTTGTCATCAATCTATTATTTTAGATGCTAGAACATATATTGTGAAGAGTAGGAATCTATTTTATTTTATTTAAGGGTAGCTCTTCTTTATTCCCTATTCATAGCACACCTCTAATGATTACTTGGTTTCAAAACATATAATAAACACAGAGAGGGAATTGAGACTAGGAAGAACAGGTAAAGGATTTATATATATACGGAGAACCCAGAACCAAGAGCTAGATGTTTAATGACATCTAAACACATCCATGGA